TGGCTGAAAGTTTTCTCGGTGTGAACCCTCGCCAGCGTGAGCCATCTCACACTCTCGTTGATCTCCGGATCCGCCTCATCGATCACCAGATCATCAAAGTCCTCATCTTCCAGATTGAGTTGTTTCATGAAGTCCCCAAGATCCGGCGTTCCGCGAGAGCCGCCGCCAGCGCTGGTGCCTGACTGGGCGTCCGCGGGAGACTCCATAGCTACCGAGGCAGGGAGGAGCGTGGTTGACCGATCGCGCGATCCGCTCACGGGGAGGGAGATCGATCGGGACGGAGAGCACTCAGGGGCGACGGCGTCGCCCGAGAGGAAAGAGAACCCTAGCCTTGCGCGAGGGGAAAGAACGTGCTCGATTGGAGTTCCTCCCACTCGCTTTCTCTCTCCTCGTGCATGGAAGAATGGCACTGGCACTTACTAGTAACAGTGCGCATTATTTCCCAGTAGACTGTGCAGCTAGCTGACAGCAACAGTGCGCATGCATATACTACTAGCATTACTAAACAATCTAGATAGACAAATACTCCCTCCTTCCATCTATATAGGGCCTAATGCGTTTTTCAAGACCGCCTTTGACTATTGATAAAATTAATACTACATGACATGCATAATGTGAAAATTATATCATTGAAAGCTCCTTTCACATACGAATTTGATGATGTGCTTTGTGTAAGTTGCATGTCATATATTATTGCTCTAACATTTGGTCAAAGTTAGCCTTGAAAAACGCATTAGGCCCTATATAGATGGAAGGAGGGAGTAGTCGTTTTGGTGGACGACACCCTCAGGTCTGTGTATCCCCACCGTTGTTCTCCCTCTGGATCCACAAACTGCATTTATTACACTTTGTATTTCCTAATAGAAGTCATTATCCCTCGGCGTATACGCATGTTGTATATCCTGGCAAGGCCCTTTCGCAGCTGGCCACTAGTGGGACCGTTTTCCTGTTCAGGGGGCTCATAATATGTTCGATTTCGTTGGTTCGTGACATGCACCACGACTTGGTACATGTTGAGCTGGTACACCACCAGAAAGAGTTGGTTGCACCACGACTTGTTTAACAGAAGCGAACATTACTATTTATAATTAAACAGTACTGTTCAAATTATGACAATTAATTATACTTAGGATACCATGGAAAATCATCGTAAGCAGCCAGAATCAAAGTCTAACCCACTATTAAGCACCTGAGCCACACGCAGGATATGAGAGGCACATATTCTCTTTTTTTTGAGGATGAGGCACATATTCAGTTGTACCTAGTTAGAATATAATTAGTTCAAATCATGCTAATTACTAGTTAATTTTTGTTTAGCCACCGATCGATGGTTAAAACTTAAAAGTCAATATAACAATGGAAAAACAACGTAAGCAGACAGATTCAAACTTTAACCCGTCGTCAGTACATATTCAGTACTCCCTCCGTCTAGGTGAATAAGTCATCTTAGGTTATGCACCGTGACCAAGGAGGAGGAAAGAACGAAAGAACTTAATGTTTATTTGCTAATTAATAGCATTGCATGCAATGAACTAACCACTGCATGTCGTGTTTGGTAGTCTCAAGTCATTAAAAGCATGCACACCAACATCTCTTATTGGTTGATATGTCAAGAAACAAGAAACGAGGTAGAAGTTAATGCACCGTGCCTAAGTGTTCGGGGATTATTTAGTTTTCGTAAGATGACTTACACACCTAGACGGAGGAAGTACCTAGCTAGAATATACTCCCTCCGTCCCATAATGTAAGACGTTTTTTGACACATTCTAGGACGGAGGGGGTACTAATTAGTTCTAATTAACTCTATTTATTCAGGGCTAAAAAAAGGGATCACTTAATTATCAGCATCACCTGTACAAGACCCAGCACATATCCTTCAATCGGATTCCTGCATCACCGTAACTAAGGAATCCCGCGACTGGTTTTTGAATGTTTCACCGGCACGACGCGGTAGGTTAGCTGATCATTCATTGAGATAGTTATTGCGTGCAGGCCACTGCCCACCTCCCCAACTATCACGTATTATACAGCACGTCCCGTTTGTATAACAACGCTAGGATGTTTGTAATGCCAGCGTGGGTAGCAGCTCGGGAATCGCAAGACCGATATGGCCAGACGAGATACCGGCCTCACAGGTGCTCGTCCGCTGAAAATCCGCTCTGATAGACAAATAGTCTGCTACATCAGTGCTAAATAGACTGCTACATCAGTGCTAAATGCGTGACTGGTCCACTGCGCAAATCCCAAAACAATTTGACGGTTTGGATAAGGGGGTGTAGCGTGGGTGCACCGAGGTTGGGTTTAGCCACTACTTTTTCCTTATATTTTGATCCAGATTTTTTTACACTGTCAGTGTCAAAAAACGTTTTATATTTTGATACGGAGAGAGTATTTGATTCCCATTATTCCTCTATCATCAAGTGACATACATCATCTCCATGGTGGACTGCAAGTTGAAAAGCATTATAGTTCTCTCTTATAGTTAAGCTGGTAACTAGACTGCTGCTTGCTAGTGTCATTGTGTAAGCTATATAAGCCAGGACAGACTCGGCGGCTACAAAGAGCAAACTGGTCGATTGAAAAGTTCCAAACATCATAATACTGACCCGTATTTGTTGACGCTGCTTTAATACTACGTACATCGGAGGGAGTAATATAACCACCCTCTTGTTTCCTCCCTAATCCCAGCCGGCTAGGGCAAACTCTTTCCTACAGACTTCACTAGTGAGCATGTCGATTCACCTCTCCTCCGCCTACCGCTCCGGTTGTCGGTGGCGGGGAGGGGAATCCCGGTGCCTCCGCGCTCGGCGCTAGGGCGGATGGTGATGCTTCTTCTTTGAGTTTGGCTTCTGGTCTTCAATCCTTCTCGAGTTTGTCGGTCTGTGTAGTTGACGAAGCTTCGGCGTATATTCTTATCATTTTCTTAGGGCGGTGAGGTTAGGTTTTATCGTCATGTGACGAGATTTGATGTCAGGTGTTTCAAATTTATACAAGGGTTCAATGGCGAGAACTGCGGCTCCAGGGCGCTAGTCCTTAGGGGCACGTGCACAAAGACTTCCCGACTGTAATTGATGATGTCAAGCCGACTCCGAAGGAAGCGGCGACAGCAGAGCGTCGGCGGCTTGTTCTGGCGGCATTTGTGGTCGTTCTCCATCACGAATGGAGAATGTGGGAGCACGGTGCTCGTGGGCGGAGCCCGTGGCTCAGGTGCGGCCCGGTGGCCATGGCCGTGTGGGCGACATGGTGATTGGGGTGCGTCGATCGGTGGCGGTGGTGCGGCGTCCGTTCCTTGCCAGGGGTTGTGAGTGTGAAAACCCGTTCTGTCTTCGTGCAGGCCGGCGGCGGCGAGTCCGTTCCCTTCTTGAAGGCGTCGCTGCGGTCCTCATTGCCCATTGTGTTGCTCCAGGGGAAACCCTGATTCGCGGATCGGGCGGTGACGACGGTGTCGTGACCTTCTTGAAGGCGCCGCCTTGGAGCTCACAATTCGTCGTATGCGGCTTCGTCTCTTCGCGGTGGTGTTCACGGTTGAGGACCCTGGTAGCTCTTGTAGCGATAAGGGTGGTGTAGCTGTGCTCAGCACCTATATATCTAGCTTTGGGTGTGTGCGTGTGTTGGGGTGGCATGTGTTTATATTGACTTATTGACGGTTATGACTTTATATATAAAGCGGGGCGAGAGCCTTTTTCGGTAAATGGAGAACGTGGACTTACACTCTCATGAACAAGCCCAATGAGCCAGATAACAACAGTGGGTTTCTCACGGTCAGGCCCATATACCCGGCCCAGCAGCACCGGAGTGGAGTCGCTGTACCATTCCTTCCTTCTTCCTCTGTCCCGGCGGATCCAGCACCCGAGCCAGCTGGAGTGCCCGCCGCGCCGCCCAGGGGGAGCCAGATGGCGTTCGTCGCTCCTCGCGGCCGTGCGCGTGGTGGTGCCCTGGTGAGGAGGCGCCGCCGACGAGCAGCATAAAATGCGGGCCAGCCGGATGGCGCGAGGAGCCGCGCGCGCGCGTCGTCGCGTGGAGATGGGCCTCGTCCAAGTCCTGCCGCGACGACGTCTTCCGGGTGACCTGCGCCCACGGCATGGAGGACGCCTTCTTCTAGTGCTCCGTCGGCTGGGTTAGGAGCGCCACCAGGTCAGCTTCTGCCGGCCTGCCCGCCAGGTGCTTGTGTTTATTCCCATGCGTTCCAGTTCCACTGTGACTCTGTCCTAATTAGCTGTAGTCACTACCAGTGAGTAACATTTCTGTGCATCCCTGCTTGGCCACGCCTACTTGGTGGATGCTGCGTGCCTGCGTCCGTGCAATCGAGGTGTGGCTAAGATTGCTGCGCATCCTGGATTCCTGGTCTTACAACAACCAGATACCGAGGCTCGATTCTCTCACCGATGAATATTTTAGGACAAGTAGACTAGAATACCGCAAGGTTTTGATTGGTTTGATGTGTGCCGGCCGGTAGTTGGCATAGGACAAATGACAAATCATACATTAAGACAGTAGACAGATCAAGAAAAATGTTAAGTTGATCGGTCCGTCAAGCTGTAGGTGAGTATAAGGCTAAGAGCTGCTGCAACCACTCTTGCTTTCCTTCAGTTAAACATACCAGTTTGAAACGAGAATGGAGCTGCCTGCGTTTTTACATTTTAGCCAGGACAAGTTAAATATGATCAAATCGTGCTCCTGCCCGGCGCACCCACTGCCAATTGGACTATGCGTATAAAGAACTGGGGTATTATATTATATGAAAACATAAGTTAAGACAAGCCCACGGAGGCATTCGGTCAAGTCAAGAAAGTATATTATTAATGGTATATATAGCCCCTCGATGTAAGCTCTTATAGTATAGGAAATCCACTAGACATGTGACAACGCTCATAGCTACCGCTAACCATGTGCACACATAAATTGGATTAGGGAGCGAACTTGAAACAAATCAGCCTTACTTTGTGCCTGTGTGCGACTGATTGTTGAGCAAGAGCAGGAAAGGGAAAGAGCTAGACCAGATGGGTCTGTCGAGCGCTGTGGATTGGTGGGAGGAGTGGCAGCTGCGCATCCTCGTCCTCGGCAGCCTCTTTGTCCAATACCTCCTGCTCTGCTCTGCCCCCTTCCGTAAGTTTGCTATTCCTTCCTGGTACAGATCCATCATATGGCTCGCATACCTAGGCAGTGATTCTGTAGCCATATACGCCCTGGCTACCCTCTTTAACCGCCAGAGGAGACAGGATTATGGTTCTGCAAACAGCAATAGCATCCTGGAGGTGGTGTGGGCGCCAGTTCTCCTGATGCACCTCGGCGGACAGGACGTAATAAGTGCCTACAATATCGAAGACAACGAGCTGTGGACACGGCATGTCCTCACTGCAGTGTCTCAAGTCACAGTAGCTATCTACGTGTTCTGCAAATCATGGCCAGGCACAGGCGGAGACACAAGGTTGTTGCTGGCATCAATCTGCTTCTTTGTCTCAGGGATTGTCAAATGCATAGAGAAACCTTGGGCTCTCAAGAGAGCTAGCATCAATAGCCTAGTCAGCTCTTCTGATACTGCCGCGAGGATGGGAAGCATGTTTGGCAAGACCATTTCGCTTGAAGAGTACGTGCAAGAAGCAAGGAATTTTGTCCAGTCCCAAGTAGAAGGGCATGCAGTTGACCTTGAGCACAACCATGTTCCTCAAGCCCAAGCAGAAACTGATGCAGTGGAATCCAACCATCATCGTCAAGCACATGGAAAAGGTAATGCTGCTGACCTTGATCCCAACCATATTCTTCGAGCCCAAGGAGAGGCCAATGGAAAAAGGCGCCTAATCCAAAAAAGGGAAAATAATAGAAAATATGATGTTCAGATCCGTAAGATATTTGTGGACCTTGCATCATCGTATACTGATCGACTGGATATCCTAAAATCCTTTTGGGTGCTTGATGAGAAAAGAGCATGCGCTTTTTTGCGAAAAGGGCTATTAAACACATTTGATCTTCTCTACACCAAACAAAAGGTGAATACATCCATGGAAATTATCAGAAAAATTCAAGAAGCTAGAAAAGCAGATATTACATTTCAGAACTTTTTTACTTGGTGCTTTTTGGCACTAGCTCTGTACCTGCCATTTGCTGCCATCGGCCTCTTCCACAAGAGTCACAGAGGCACTTATAATGTTAATGATGTCAAGGTTACATATGCCTTGTTCTGTTGTACTGCTGCGATGCAGTTTTTTGCCATGTACTTTCACATGCTTGCAGCAGCTCTGAGCGGTTTACTGATATCATCTGGCATGGTTGCTCAGTATAGCCTACTAAATTTCTTTATTCGCAACGAAAGGCACAGCAAGAAGATGTGCGTTCTTAGTTCCTTCAACTGCAAGGACTTCCTTGACCAGCGTTGGTGCATGAAGTCATGCTCCTCATCTTTCGGAATTACAGAATTGGTTCTTGGATATGTGAAATGTTGCTGGGAGAAAGACATAGTAGATGCTGCCAGTTATAGGAAATTCAGTGATCAGAGGGGCCAGTGGACTATTCAGCGTAGTGGGTGCGACAAAGACCAGGAATGGGGGCTAAACAGGTTGTTCGACGAGAGTGTCCTTCTCTGGCACATCGCAACGGACTTGTGCTTCTACCAAAAGGGAGACACATCAGCTAGTCGTGGAGATGCCACAAAATGCAGAGAAATTTCCAACTACATGGTATACCTACTGTTTGTCCATCCTGAGATGCTATTGCCCGGCACAAGACGAAATCTGTTCAAGGCTGCTAACGCTGAACTGGAGGAGATTTTCAAGGACGACAAGCCATTACTCAAGGCCATCCTCAAGGGTGGCAAGCCATCGCTAATGGAGATTCCCAAGCGAAAGGGGCCATTGCCTGAGCAGATTGAAAGAAGACTTGTGGACAGTATAATCGCCAAGGTGCAACCAACAAAATACAGCAAACAAGTTGAACACACATACTTGGCACCAGCTGCACAGGAAGGTTTTATCCATGAGGCCCGGAAGATTTCTGAACTATTGTTGTCTTTGGGCGATGAGAAGATGTGGAAGGTGATCAAAGGTGTGTGGGTGGAGATGCTCTGCTTCTCAGCCAGTAGGTGCCGAGGATTCCTACATGCCAAGAGTTTGGGCACCGGCGGGGAGCTGCTCACATATGTATGGCTCCTGCTGTCGCACATGGGGATGGAGACCTTGCCGGAGAGGGCACAGAGGAGGGAGCTTTCAAGTGAAGGAGGAAACATGGGTGCTGCTCCGTTCACTTCGCGGGTCAGCATCCCCACTGGGGAGGACATGGTTTGATCATTGATGCTTATGAAGACCATTTTCCCCTGATTTCAATCTTCGGTGTCGCTTATTTTCTTACCCATTGTGGACTTTCTTGTTTGTACTCCCTCCGTAAAGAAATATATAAGATCGTTTAGATCACTACTTGCTTCTCTAGTGTTCTTGTTCTTCAGTTGAATAAAACCATGTGGTGCTTGTATGTTTCTTATTACAGTGGCTACCAGTCTGCCACCATGTTTGTAAGAGTGGGGTCGTGAGTCATTTAAATGTTTGATTAGCATAGTAATGTAATGTATTACTACTACCCAAATATCAGAATTGCAGTGCTGTTTTCCTTGTTCAATCTTGACAATTGTTTCGTTGATTACTACCCAAAGAAAGTGCAGTTGTTTCTTCTTTGATTTATATGATTTCTGCTGCAGTATTGCTCCAGCTCAATATGCAGAGTGTCCGATGATGCCAAGGCTGGAGATATTATAACATGTGAACGTGGTCTACCAGATGAAGGTAGAGCCTCGGCAACAGCAAGCTTCAGACGCTGTTGCGGCCAAATCTATCTCGTCGACAGCCCCAAGAAATGTAGCACGCGAGTAATCTGAGGGATTATGGTATCCCTTTATCTGTTCTTGGGAAATAACCTAGTCTGTGTTGGAGTCTTGGAGAACATACTTTGCCACCTAATCCAAGGGATGGATTGCCTCCGGCCCATGCCTGCTTCAGTTAAAAGACCTGCATCCATGCGTCGAGTTATCGGTATGTATGTTAACTGTGATGCTAAATGATCGTGGGCTAACTTGTGTCAAGACCTCAGAGAACACCCGTGTGTTTTGCTGTGATCCTAAATCTATTCAGGATATGTTTTTGGGTTGCTTGGTACTGCCTACTACTCTGTACGTACTAGCTAGGCACCTGCCGGCTGAAGTTTCTGAAATGCTACAGTGTTGAGTAAGTGGTGATATATGCTCTCGCTCGTCCTACTAATAACTCTGCACTGAACATGACTTATCCTGGTGTTCTCGGGAGCTTGTGACGTTTTCAAAACTCTATGTGCTTCCAGGGTATGAGGTGGTCGAACCCCGAACATGAGGACGCCCTGGATGAAGGTTCATCATATTGCTGCTGCAACATTGGAAGCCCCCGTGCAAAGCCTTGCTCGACACTGCCCGACCGACGCAGCCACGCTGATGGATGAGATGCAAGCGCAAAGCGAAACACGGAGAATTGCCTGGACACTCACCCCATCTGCTGTCAATCGCGTTGTTTTACCGACCGGCAGGGGCATGGAATTCCCCTTGGCATCGATGCAATGTCGGCAGTGTACCTTCTTTTTCTGAATGTTGGGACTGGCGCTGTAGACTACTCCACGGTGCTGTTTCATCCAAGGAAAAGAGGTGTGTCTGTTGATTCAGCGGGGAGCTTTTGCATATCTTGCAGATGGTTTTTTCCCCTTGCTTTGGTGAATAAATAAATAAATTTTACGTTGGATAAATATTGTTACTAGGTCAGATTTCGTGTCACTGCTGTTTTTTTAGAATATGCTACAAATGTCATTGCTACAAATGTCGATGTTTTTTTTTTTGAGGGAACAAATGTCGATGTTGGGTGTGCTGACTCTACCTTTTTCTTTTGAGATAGTATATGTTTGCTGGCTCTGCTTTTTTTCGGAGAAAGTCTGCTGTGCAAGCTTTGAAAAACGCCATGTGAATTGTATGTTCATGTGCTTACGGGTGAGATTAGAACGAACCGAGCCATGTTGTGGTATAGAATTTGGAGTATGCAGACCATGTTGCCTCTCTACGATGAAATTCAGCTCACGAGGGAGATATCTGCGCAGCATAAGTGTTGGTGCTTATTTTTTTCTGTGCGGAAAGGATTAGATCTTATTATAAAACTTTACCGGATGTACAAAACATCTCGACCATAATAAAAATTCATCAAGATTCCCAGGGCACCGAACAACCACTACTGCCGCCAGAACGAACTGTCAACGTCATCGCTGTCGCCGCTCCCTTATCGGAGCCGGCCTGACTTTGTCGATAACAGCCAGGAAGTCTTCATGGATGTGCCCCTAAGGACCAACACCCTATAGCCATTGTCGTTGCCGTTGAACTCCTACATAGTCCGAAGCACCTACATCAAAACACGGCCACATGACGAGTAACCCGAACCTCACCGCCCCAAGGAGACGGCAAAAATCTATGCCCGAGCTCAGTCAACTACATCCAAACCGACGAACTCGAGAGGGGTCGAAGCCCAGAAGACAAATTTGAAGAAGAAATGATGCCATCCCCCGAGCGCCACAACTGCAAGAACTAGAAACCCGAACCTAAACTACTACCTGGCCGGCTATTATCACGCTAATCCTACATGCACGGTGTGACCCGTCAAATTTTTTACTGTGAGATTATTACATGTTAACCCAAAGCCTCACTAAAAAATCACGCACATGCAATTTTTATGAAGGCTTTGTCAGACTTTATGAAGGATGTGGCCGAACTTTGCCATGAAAATCAGGAGGACTTTTGAAAAAACCAATAAAAATTGAAAAGTTCTTTGAGTTTTGGCGACAAAGTTCCAAAAATATGGTTAAAAAGTTATCTACCTATTTTTCAAAAATTGCGAGCTATGCCAGGGTTTTCCAAAAGTTCTTCTATTTGTCATGGCAAAGTTCAGATACCAGTTTAACAAAGTTTGGTTCTATTTAAAACTATTTAAAGAACATTCTTTGAGAACAATTTCAATAACATGATATTTTATTTTTTTGATGTTTAAATTACTTCCAACAACATAGGCTAGAGAAATAAATCACATGAATTAATTTCACAGCTGAAGGGGTAAAGAGAATCTAGCAACAGCGTCACCTACTATTGGACAAGACTAGCTAACAGCGTCACCTACTACTGGACAAAACTAGTTTGGGTCCTAGCGGGACCCTTCTTAGCTTTCTCACCTGCATCATGGTACGCGTTGTGAACGGAACGTGAAAGTAAATGCCTTTTCCCCTAATTTCGGCTATTTGGGTAGTTCGGGCACCATTATTTGAAACCTGAATTTTATTACCCGATTTAGTGTTCGGGTTTGGGTTTTTCGGGTTGGAATTTCAGTTTATGCCCACCGTGAGTCGGAGTAGCCCACCGGTTACAGACGTCCGTGGATGAACCCATTCCCCCTCGCTCTTCTGCTCCCTGTGCGGCACTCGTACTAACTCGTAAGCAGACGCCGGTCGTTCGTCGTCGACCGTGGCTACCATCGAGGGCTGCCGTGGTGGAGGCCAGGGCGGACGAGCCGCCGCCAGTGGCGTGCAAGTGCAACCTTGCAGCCGCGAAACTCCAGGCAGCGGCCGGCGAGGAGATGGCCTCGTCTAACGCCCGGCCGGCCGCAACGGCGACGTACGCGACGGATGTCCGGCCTCGTGTGGTGTGCCAGGCGAAATGCGCCACCGGACGGCATGGTATTCCCCTCCGTCCGCCAAAAGCGACGCCGGCGCCAGTTCAGCTCCCGCCCGCCCGCCCGCCCGCCAGGTGCTTGTGATTATTCCCCACCCGTTCCACTAGCTAGAGGTACGTACCTTACCTAGTGACTAGGCCCTACATACCGAGTGACCAACCACTCAGTCACCACGCTTGATTTGCTTGCTAATTGGCCTCGCCTACTTCGATGCGTCGTTGGTGTTAAGTTAATCTAGGTGTGTGGCTAGGATTGCTGTGCTGTGCATCCTGGTCTCGCCTCGCAACAAACAGAATTGAGATTTCAATTCTCCCACCCATGAATATTTTACGCGAGTAGACGGAATACTAACAAACATAAGGTTTTGATAGGTTTGATGCGCCGGCCGGCCGGCAGTCAGGCATTCAAATAAATAGTGGCCGTTAACCTCACTATATATGGTTAATTCACCCACGACCCGTCGCTGTGGACGAGCAAGAGCTGCAACCTGACAGCAGGTGAGACGAATCGAGCTGCAACCCTCCATTAACTATACATACAATTCACATATATATACCAGTTGGGACGAATCGAGCTGCATGCACATTCTACACACATACAGGCCAAGCAAAATATTAGTATCAGGCCTGGCTCCTGCCAGTGCCCGGCGCACCCACTGCTAGTTGTTATTCACACAGTAATTGCTGGGCCATTAGATGGAAATCGTAAGGTAAGACAAGCCCATAGACACAGAGTCAAGTAGTAAGATATTATGTAGTGCAAGGAATCGACTAAATATGTGATGACCCGCAGTTATTAGGTTGCAACTAATTGACCTCTCACCTTTGTGCATTCATGCCGACAACCGACGATAGAGTGAGAGCAGGAGATACCAGGCAAGCAATAGAGATGTGTCTCTCAAGTGCTGTGCTATGGTGGGAAGAGTGGCAGCTGCGCATCCTCGTCCTCAGCAGCCTCTTCATTCAGTGGCCCCTCTTCCTCTCTGCCGCCATGCGTAAGCTCGCTATTCCTTCCTGGTTCAGATCCACAATATGGCTCGCATACCTAGGCAGCAACGCTCTAGCCATATATGCCTTAGCCAACCTCTTCAGTCGTCAGAGGAGGCAAGATTGCAGCTCCGGGCAAGGCAATAGCATTCTGGAGGTGGTATGGGCTCCAGTTCTCCTGATGCACCTTGGCGGACAAGACCTCATCACTGCATACAACATTGAAGACAACGAGCTGTGGACGCGGCATGTTGTCACAGTTGTGTCACAGGTCACCGTAGCCATTTACGTGTTCTGCAAATCATGGCCAGGTGACAACAAGAGGTTGTTGCAGGCATCAATCCTGTTCTTCGTCCCTGGGATCCTGAAATGCATAGAGAAGCCCTAGGCTCTCAAGAGCGCTAGCATTAACAGCCTAGTCAGCTATTCCCACTCTGCTCCCTGGAGTACCGCAAACAGAGAAGACAAGATCGATTCACTTGAAGATTACGTGTTCTGCAAATCATGGCCTGGTGACAACAAGAGGTTGTTGCAGGCATCAATCCTGTTCTTTGTCCGTGGGATCCTGAAATGCATAGAGAAGCCCTAGGCTCTCAAGAGCGCTAGCATTAACAGCCTAGTCAACTATTCCCACTCTGCTCCCTGGAGTACCGCAAACAGAGAAGACAAGATCGATTCACTTGAAGATTACGTGTTCTACAAATCATGGCCTGGTGACAACAAGAGGTTGTTGCAGGCATCAATCCTGTTCTTCGTCCCTGGGATCCTGAAATGCATAGAGAAGCCCTGGGCTCTCAAGAGCACTAGCATTAACAGCCTAGTCAGCTATTCCCACTCTGCTCCC